CCTCGGCCGAGCGCGGCCCCGCCCCCCGGCCTCGTTCCCACCCCGGCGCGCCCCCTCCTAGTCCTCGCTCCCACGGCTGGCCTGGAGCGCGTCTCCAGGTTCCACTCTAGTCGCTTAGGTGGTCTGTGGGTCATCGAGACTGGGGACATTCCTCCAAGACAGGTGGCGAAGCCCCGAGAGATTCGCAGTCCCGGAATCTAGGTCTGACCCCCCACGAGAGCTAAGCAGTCAGGAGAGGGAGCCCTAGAGAGCAGTAGGAGGAGGGATGACTTTGGAAACCCGGCATCTTAATGATGATGACTCAGGAATATGAAGGACCAGATGCTTCGGAGAGAAAGGGTTCATGTGGAGACATAACGGAAAAAACTGCTCACAGATGGGAATTCGAAGCAAAGAATCCCCCTAATAATAGCTGCCCCCCTTTTTTGTCACTTCGTGTGTGCCAGTGTCCGTATTCAGTGCTTTTTATGCATTTATGCATTAGGTAATCCTCACAAGGACTTTATCTAAAGTACCGTCGCTTTCCCCAATTTACAGTGGGGGAAACTGAGGCCTAAAATTTGAATCCAGGACGGCTGATTCTAGGGTTCACAGAGATCACTATCCTTTACTTTCTTCACATATGACCCGTCTTCAAGAAGATAGTGGTAATTTATGACCAAGATGGACTGGCTCAATATAGAAGCAAAGCTTTTTGCAAGGATCTAAAGGATTGAAGAGTCCACTGGCTGACTTCCAGTCCGCTCTTGCTTTTACCTCATTGGTGATGCTCTGTGTCGCCTGTTTTCAGAAACAATTCCATCTGAAGCCAGTATTGGTCCTTATTGTTTCTTTTTCCTCTTGGATGACAACACGTTTTTTTAGTTACATCATACGTAGATTTTTGTTGTTGTTGTTCCAGTGAGGTGGAAATTTCAGAATACCAAGAAGCTGAAGTGGGTCAAATGGTTTCTGTGGTTCTTATTTCTTATTAAATGCAGAACCCAAACAATATTTGGGTATCACAATCTATCTTCTGATGGAAAATTAAGAATCCAATAGGTCCTGAGCCCCAGGGCTGGCTTTGGAAAGGAGATAGACTGAACAGAGGGGTTGCCACATCTCTTAGGGCTAAATGTGTGCACAGGCCCTTGCTGTTGAAACATTGGAATGTTCTCATTTTTTTATTATGGTCTCCTCTGAGCAGAAATTGTGGGCCCTGGGGAGATCCAGTTGCTACTTCCTTTTGTCTTGTTTGAATGACACAAGGACTTCAAATTTCTGTCTATCTTAATAAGAAGACAAATGTATGGAAAAGAAACATGGTTTCTTAGTAGGGGTTTCAGTTTTGTTTATTTGTTGATGTTTTTTCCCTTCATGCAGACAGGCAGCCTGCCTTTCCAAATGAGACCTTGGCTTGACTCCCTTTAACTCAGTGGTCCTGATCTATTAGACATGGTATGAAAATGAACTATTAGCATGCTAACTGTAGCTCCTAAATGTTTTCCCAAACAATCTTCTACTGCCTACACTGAATAGGAAACAAGCATTTCTTACTGTAGTTTTGGCCCTAAGCACTATATTCCTGAGAATGGCCAAAGGAGAATCAGTTTGTTTGGACAACTATTTAGAATAATGGTTCTTAAACTTTTTGGCCCTAGAATCACTTTACATTCCCCCAAATTATTGATGACATCAAAAAATTTTACTTTACATAGCTGTAGATATTGATATTTGATTTTTTTTTTAAACCGGGAATTGAACCCAAGGTAGCTTAAACACTAGCTTAAACATTCTCAACCTGTTTTTTATGTTTTATTTTCAGACAGGTCTTTTTAAGGACCTCGCTAAGTTGTTGAAGTTGGTCTGGAACTTGCAGTCCTCCTGCCTCAGCCTCCTAAGTTACTGGAATTGTAGGTGTGCATCACTATGTCCAGCTAAAATATTAATATTTAAAAAATTAAAATAGTAGGCATGGTGGCTTATGCCTATAATTCCAGTGACTTGGGATGCTGAAGTAGGAGGATTGCAAGTTCAAAATCACCCTCAGCAATTTAGCAAGGCCCTACGTAACTTAGCAATACTCTGTCTCAAAAAAAAAAAAAAGGCAGACTGGGGTTATGGCTCAGTGGATAAGTGCCCCTGGATTCCATCCCTGCTACCAACATAAATGAGTTAAAATACAGTGCTGGGAATGTAGCTCAGTTGTAAAGTGCTTGCCTAGCAAGTACAAGGCCCTGGGTTCAATCCCCAATATCACACACCAAAGTTAAAATATGGAAGAATTAAAAATATTGATTTATAATAAGCCTATTACATGTATGAAGATATTTTTTGAATGATAATGGTATATTCCCAAATTTTAAACAAATGAATGAGAAGGTTTGTATTATTTTATTTTTGCAAATAGAGGAGGTTCGTAAGTGATACTAGCTTTCTCTTTTCTTTCCATGAGCATGTGGGTATAAAGAACAAACAACGTGTCTACCAGTGCACTTTGGTACTTGTTATAGTTAGGATCTTAAGTGTCCCCCCAGAGATCAATGTGGTAAGGTCTTGGTCCCTAGTGCTGTGCTATTGGGAGGTTGTGGAACCTTTAAGCAGTGGCGCATAACGGGAGATCTGTAGACCACTGAGAGTGTGACTTTGAAGGGGATTTTGAGACCCTTGCCCCTTCCCCTTTCCTCTCTTTTTCTTCCACCGAGGTGAGCAGTTTTGCTTCTCCATATGTTCCTGCCATGCTGTGCTGCCTGCCCGTAGTAATGGAGCCAACTGATGATGTATGGAAAACTTTAAAACTGGGAAATAAACTCTTTTTTCTTATAAGCTGATTATTTCAAACATTTGTTACAATTACAGAAGTTTGACGGTCTTAATTTATATTAGAGTATCAGTAATGTTACCCACTATTTTTTTTTGGATCATCAGCACAAATGACAACAGTTTAAAAATAATATTTGACAATTGGCATTATTATGAAATTAACTTTATGATTATTAAATTAAAATTACTATCATTACAATTATTATGAAAATAGTTTAAGCGGCCATCCCCACCCTTGAAAAGGCTATTAGAGACCTTATTAGAGGGGGTCAGCGTGCCATATTTTGAGGACGGCTGATTCAAGGCCATTCAAGACCATTGGCCAGCTTTGAGGTAACAGAATAAGCAGGTATCTGCCTACATGGAAATTAGTACAAGACTTAAAACTTTTCAAAACAAAGATATGACAACTCTCTGGCTTCTAAGAAGCTTATTATTTTGTTTATTCTGCTTCATGCTAAAACAAAGTATTATGTTCCAATTTCTTTATATAACATTATCTTATTTAATCCTCACAACAACCCTATAATGCTAGTGTATAACATCAATATGTACTATAGATTCCTACATGAGGACTGTTACAACACCAAGGGCCAAAACATAGATTTTTTTTTCTCTTCTTAGAAATCCTGATATTTACAAATGTGACAACATGCATCCAATTTTCCTAAGTTGTTTATTTTTTATTAACATCTTGGTCTGTAAAAAGCTGGAAAGTGTAAAAGACAAAACATTTCTCAGAAAAATTTGTTTTTGAAAAGTCAAGTGTTGAAGAAATATGAGGAGGTGGCAAAATGTGTGATAAAACAATTCTACGCTTGATATGTTCATTCAACAGTGGGGTATGTGCATACACATGCGCACACATGAGTGCCTTCAGTTTTATTTATTAACTAGTCATAGAAATATGGAAGTCTCAAAAAATTCTGAAATGTTATCCGAAGCTTCTTCCATGTGTTTAGATATGAGTTGA